TATATATATATATATATATATATATATATATATATACACTATATTATAAAGCATTTGATAAAAACTCTTAAAAACCATTTTTTATGAATGAACTACTGTTTATTGATGCATATTACTTAAAATTCAAGATTACAAGTAAATTGTGCTTAAGTACAACTTATTAAAGTTTCATGTTTGAATTCGTGTAACTAATTGCAGATAAATATCGTCAAATACAAGATAAATATTTTATTTTAAATATAAAAAACCTAAAATATAATTAAGATAATTATTTAGTTTCAACATTACTTAATATTATCCTTATAAAAAATTTAATAAATCTAAATTAAATTATAATAAAAAATTACACAAAAAAAATTACACAAAAAAAATAACTTTTAAATAGTTAATTTGATACTAATATTAATATATTTATTTTCGAAATTTTATGATATCTTCAAATTTGTATTTTATTAAAAAATAAAATCGTTATTCCTTTCTCAAAACCACATAAAAACCATATTAAAACATCTACAGAGACGAAATAAAACGAAACATTAAAATCGAGATATATCTCGCTGCATTACGCGAGTACCCTTCTATATTATAAAATATTTGAAAAAAAACTATTAAAAACCATTTTTTATGCATTAAGTATTGTTATTGATAAATATTACTTAAAATTCAAGATTACAAGTAATTATGTGTAAATACAACTTATTAAAGCTCCATTTTAAATTCGTTATAACTAACTGCAGATAAACATAATCAAATACGTGATAAATATCTCATTTTAAATATAAATAATCTAAAATATAATTAGGATAATTATTGAGTTTTAACATAACATTAAACTATTATCGTTATAAAAATTATATTATTAAACTAAAATAAATTACTTTATTATTAAATTATAATAAAAATTGAATTAAAAAAATTATAAAAAACATGTTAAATATAATAAGTTGATAAATTATTTTTTAATGTTCGATAAATTTTGTTTATACATGTAAAATGACCATAAGTTAATAAGTTGTTTCAAATAAGTCAAATTAAATCTTATAAAAAACTTTTTATATAGATGTCAAAACGGTATAAATATTTCTTTTCTTTTTTTCCAATCAATATACCAAAAACTTATTTATTACCGATATCATACCGAAATAAATAAATAAGCAATTTATAACCAATCTCAAACACCTTAATCTAAATTATGATTATAAACATAAAGTATTAGAATGCATGTGAGTAATTAAGAGAGATTAATTAATTACCATCCCCAAAAGGACCAATCCGGTACGACGATATCCAAGCTCCAGATATCCGAACAGTACTTGAACAGCGGCGGCGGCCCGGGATTCGGCCGCCGGAAGTAGCGTTTCGCATTGACCACCGGCCGATCATCGCAATCGAACATAAGTTCCAGATCAGGAATTCTGCCAGGATACCGCCGTAACAACTGCTGAAACCCCCATAGCGTGAACAAATCTCGAGTCTGAATCGACTTTCTGAAGCTTTCGACGTACGCTTTTCCGTCGAGGATTACTAGCCTGAAATGCGCACTCGCTTTTGCTCTCTCCACCATGTCTCTTGTGATCCCCGTCTCTCTCCAGTGCCGTAGATCTTCGTGGATCCAACGGAAGTAATCAGGACACATTGCCTTAATTGATGAACGGTCCAGATTTAGTTGGCTTGTTGGGTAGTTCTTTGGGCATGTTAGGGTTTGATTCCATGTAAGACAGTCCAGAGCGAATTCATGAACCTTTCTTCTTGTTCGCAGTACCAGGATCGATTCACCAGCTGAAAGTATAGACTACATATGCAGTAAGAAACACCGGTTAGATTATCACATAAAACAAACATCCGCGATAAAAGGTTTCACGACCCACAAATAGCTAAATGGAATAAGTCTAATGTTGGCTGATAAACTAGTTGTTTGATAAAATAGTCTTATTTGATAAAAATTACCGGGTAAATTAGATGATAATGTAAAATGATTTGATAGAAAAATCAAACCAGTACTAATATAAAATATAAGTAGCATATTTAGAAAAAATGGCAAAAAACCCTCAATAAACGATCATAAATAGTCTTCATAAAACAAGCTAACTTGTTGCTTATCAGGAAGAGCTTTTTCAATAAGTTTAGAAAATAAAATAGCTGATGGTTGCTTGACATAGCGTAACTGTCTTGAATTTGGAAAATTACATTCATTATCTTGTAACTTAACAACGGTGTGCGATCAAAGTCAGCCGATGGCCTTTTGTGACAGTTTCGTGCATCACCGGTGATATTTCTCTTGGTAGAAAGTTGGGGATGGGATACTTACAAGGTCTAACCAAGATGCAGCTATGAAGAAGACGAAAAGGAAGACGATGACGAGAAGCAACAAGGTACAAGTTGTTGTAGCATGATTTCGACGATTGAACGCTGGCCTTAGCCAATATGTCTTCTTACACTTCTCTACATATAATTTCTTCATATCTATACATATATGTGTGTATATATATATATGTTGTGAAGATGGTCTCTCTCACTATATATATATATATGCCCAATGTATCATATTGCAATGGGGTGGGGTGGGGGGTACGTATAACCCATGTTTTAAAGCATTGAGTTACATGTGAAAAAAGAAGCATTGGCCCTTGATCTAATTGTGATTGAACTATGGAAGGAGCATTCATCGTGAGAAATATTTGGTGTTTATATAAAGATTCCGCAAGGAAAAAAAACATGACCAAAACATGGAAATATCAATGATACATATATATCTATACTATATTATAAAGCATTTGGCTAAAACTCTTAAAAACTCTTAAACTCTTAAAACTCTTAAACCCGTTCATCCCTAAACAATTTCATCTCTATCCGATTTCATCCCATAACTGAATTCGTGTAACTAACTACAGATAAACACAATCAAATACAGGATAAACATCTCATTT